CCGCGCATTCGAACTCCTGGAGCTGGCCGCTGTGCACCTGTACCTGCTGCCCTGGAGAAAGGAATTCACCACCATCAAGGTATCATTTGGCGATGTTCCTCCACTTCCTTCCTTTGTCCGGGCTGTTGGGGGCTGCCAGTCCTCTCCAGGGAAGAGTTCCATGCTGAGGGGCCGTGGGCGTGTTGGGATGCTTGCCTACCAGGGAGTCAATTCACCTAAAACTTACATTGCTGTCCTCAAAGTAGTCTCACTGCCCTAGTTGCTATGGAAATTCTAGGATAGACGTGGGTGGGAAGGTGAGGGAGGTACTTGATGTCCTGTGGTCATCCTAACTCCAAGATGTGGACTGATCCTATCTGTAAGAGGAGGCCACTAAGATTAAGAAGAGAACAGCCGGCCGGGGACTGGAGTATGGACCTTGGTCCTGCCTGGGTCCAGGTTAGGCGGCCAGGTCCAGGAATGGCCTGGTCCTTTGGTCAGCTGATGGACCACCAAGGGGGGGGGCAGGGCCGCTCTGAGCTAATTTTGAGTGGGAAGGCAATGACGTTAGTGAGCACGTGGGCGAGGTAAACCTCCACTGGTTGCCATAGCAGCTGCTCCCCCTCCACACCCTTTTCTCTCCCTGCCCCACCAGCTTGCTGCTCCCCTGAAGCAACTGAGATCTTGGAATTTTCATTCATTCTTTCAGGCTAGAGGCCAGCCTACCCGCCCAGAGGACAAAGACTGTTAAGGTTGGCCTTGAAATAGGCTGGTCCTGGGAGTGTTGGGAAGGAGCTGGTGCAGGTAGTCTCCTAGTTGTGGGGTTTTAGCTAAGTTACCTCTACACCCTCTATGCCCCTTTCTCCTAAGAGAATAGTCAAGGTACAAAGACCTAAGAAGGGTGTTGTGACCAGAGCTCCTCATGTGCCCACGACCCCTTCTTAAAGGGTCTATGCAGGGAAGTACTCTAAGGATGCCTAGAGTGGTAGACTTCCACATTTGGAAAAGATCCATAATTACCTTGGTTCCCTATGTAGCTTTGATCTAGAAAGCACATCCCCATCTGTTAGTGTGGTCCTCTCACCAGCTGCACATCAGACACAGCAAGGGACAGTGAGAGCAAAATGCCTGGTCCGATAGTGACAGATCACCAGGATTAATGGAGGGAGGGGTGCACAACAGAAAGGACAGAGTATTCCTATAGGCCGAGGCAGGAGGATGTTGAGTTTAGGGTCAAGCTGTTTCAAAATAAAAGAGGGTGGTACCCACACCTTTAATCCCAACACTTGGGAGGCAGAGAAGTAGGTGGCTCTCTGAATTCCAGGACAGCCAGGGCTACACAGAGAAACCCTATCTTGATAAATCATGGTGGGGGGTGGGCATAAAAGGCTAGGGATATGGCTCAGTGGCTCAGTACTTGCTTAGTATACACAAGGCTTCTCCCTTAGAGAGAAAAAAGATCCAAGCTCACTCCAGCAGATAAAAACAGTCTCTGGGGGTGAACACAAACTTCAGAAGTGAACCAAGGTCAAGGCTGCACTGAGTCCACACAGGTTACATCCAAGAAGCTCTATGGAAGAGCATTCCTGACCAGGACCCTTCCTTGCAGACCTTCTCAGGGGGCTATGTGCATGTGCTGAAGGGCGTACTCTCTGAGGAGCTCCTGACTCGAAGCTTCCAGAAGATGGGCTACGTGCGCAGGGACAACCACCGCCTAATGGTGACCACCCCACCCCCTGCTTGCCAGCTGGTTCAGGTGGCCCTAGGCTGCTTTGCTCTTCGGCTGGAGTGTGAGATCCTAAGTGAGGTGCTAACTCAGCTGGGCACAAGTGTGTTACCAGCTGAGGAGCTGCTCCGAGCACGACGGGCTAGCGGGGATGTTGCCTCCTGTGTGGCTTGGCTGCAGCAGCGGCTGGCCCAGGATGAAGAGCCACCACCACTACCTCCCCGGGGCACACCTGCTGCTTATGGGGCCCCAGTGGACCTCTATCAGGACCTGCAGGAGGATGAGAGCTCAGAAGCCAGTCTGTATGGTGAGCCCTCCCAAGGGCTGGACTCACCCCCTGTAGACCTGGCATATAGGCCACCACTCTGGGAACAGAGTGCCAAACTATGGGGTTCTGGGGGCCAGCCCTGGGAACCCCAAGCTGATGATCTGCACCGGGCCAGCAGCCCACCATATGGGGCTCTGGAAGAGGAACTGGAGCCAGAACCCTCTGCTTTCTCCTTCCTCTCTCTACGCCGTGAGCTGAGTCGTTCAGGAGACTTAGCTACCCCTGAAGTCCCTGGGAGCCCTGGGCAGGCCAGCCCCCGACACAGGCAGGCAGAAGGAGCACCAACCTCAGCCTATGGGCCTGTTGTGGAGCCTCTGGGCTACCAGGCACACAGCTGCTTGAGCCCTGGTAACCTGCCTACCCTCTGCTGTGACACTTGCCGCCAGTTACACGCTACCCACTGCACTGCCCTATCAGCCTGCCGCCCAACTCATTCACTGCGCATACTTCTTGGTGACAACCAGAGACGCCTGTGGCTGCAACGACCACAGGTGGATACCCTGATCTATGATAGTCCTGGGGGCCATCCCTAGGCCCAGATGGACCCCAAGACAAGAGTTTGGGGAGATAGTTTTCATGGTGCTTCTTTTGGGAAAGGGCCTAGGCCACTGGCTGCTCTGGCCCTCCTATTCCCCAGGGGAGTCCAGTACCTACAGTTGGAAGAGGGTAGGTAGAGCCTTCATGGAATGCTCTTGCTGGGGCCATATCAGGCCCTCCTCACTGACATGCCCATGTCTCAGTCCTGTCTACAGCAGGCCCTGGGCTGAATCAACAAGATCCTTCCCTCACATCCCTATCCTTATGCCCAGATGTGCTGGGTAGAGAAGTCCAGGTTGTCCATGTTACAGTACCCAAACTCACTCCTAGAAGGACCCCACCCTGTAAACTGCCTGAAGCTCCCTGCCTGCTCCCTGCAGTCTATGGTTCAGGATATGTCCCTCTCTCCATGTGCTGAGAAATCTTTACCCAGGGGCTTGCTCAAGAGCCTGGAGACACCTAAGTTAGATTTGGGCCATGTGGGAGGATCTAACGGGGTACAGCTCACTTAGCTGTGAGCCCCCCTGCTAACTCCTGCTGTTAGTAAGGAGCCCTGCAAAAAAACAGGCAGTGGGAGGAGCTCTCACCACCAACCGCCCCACATTCAGCAGAAATGGTTCTCAACAACCAGCTGCCTACTAGCCAAAGAGGGGGTGAGCCTATCCAGGCCACCCCTTGGGCTACTGCCAAAATGCAGCTCACTGCCCCATGTAGCTCCTTACAGGAACAGAAAACCTGGAAGAAAGAAGTTACACCCTCTTTTCCCTTGGGGGTAGCCCAGGGCCCCTCACTGGGGTCCCTAAAACAATAATCCACAGGACAGTGATAATGAAGGGCTGGGTTTTCATCAACCATGCAGAGGCCCAGGCACAGCAACTGCTGCTCTGTAACACTTCCTCTACTGGCACCCCCTCAGCCAAGCCCATTCCTATTCCTTACTCCCAGCCCCTCAAAGGACACTGTCCATGTTGCATGGAACAAAACCCCAGAGTACATTAAAGGATTGTGAAACTGTCTATTGGAAAGGCTTTTTATCTCTGCACCCCTGGAAAAGGAGCCCACCAATTCTCTCCCTGGGCATCAGTGCCAGCCACATCCAGCAAGGGCTCTCATTCTGACAGTCTTCAAGCATTCTATCGTGGCCCCAACCAATACTCCCTCCTTCCCACCTGAAGCCCCACTATCCCTGCCCAGGGTCACCACAGCCTGTCTGTCCTGGGCAGCTCCTAGTGACCAAGCAACAGTATGGTCTCCTGGGCCTGCTCATCCCAGGCTAATGCCTAGCTCCAGTTCCAACACTAGAGTGATTTGGAACTTTAGGTCTCTTAGCACTAGCGCTGCCTACCCAGAAGCATGGCTTCACTGACAGACAAGGCTGCCAAGAGTAATAGGCCACCAGATGGTGCTACAACAGCCCAGTCTATGCTGGGTATCCCCACTCAGCAACATCCCTGTCCATAATCTACTTGCATCTGGGCACAGAGGATAACAGGCAGGAGTCAGCTGAAGAGAAGAACATTAGCCAGAGGGGCCAAAGGCATCTTGGCCTGGAGGGCCCTCCTGGTCTGCCGACTGAAGATCCATGAGGATGTGTAGGAATGGGCTAGACCCACCATCAGGGCTTGCATCGTTTGTTCTGCCCCTCAGTGGCAGCTGGGGCAGCACGCTTATTTCGGTGGTGGGGGAAGGTGGGCATGAGTTCCGGCTCACAGGCTGCAGGAAAAGGGTAGCTTCAGTGATGGCTCGGAGAAGGGGTCCTGGTGGGGCATGCTCCAGGTCTATCTAGATGGGACTCCTCTTTTCAGCTGGCCCTGACCCTCCATCTGCTCCCTACCTTCCCCCCCTGGGGAGTCTGCCCACATTCCACTCACCCAATATAGACAAATAGGGTTGTGAAGACCCCAAAGAGATTCGAACTTACGTAGGGGTTTCTCTTTGAAGTAGGAGCTCTCTAGACAGTCCCCCGCGGTTGCCCTGGAGAATGACAATAGCCTTTAGCTTCGGAGAGGCCTATTTCACTCATAACACAGCCAGGCTCAACAGCCCAATTCAACATCCAACAAATGGGGACTGGAGGCCTAGAAACTGACAGGCAGCTCAGAATGGCTCTAAGTCCTAAGACCACTCAAACTGGACACCTGGCACTTATGGGAAAGGGCATCTACAGTCTGCACTGTGAGAAACCATCTTTAGAAGGTTTGTTGAATTGAGATGGCTCAGTGCTAGAGTGCTTGCCTAGCATGTGCCAAGGCTGTAGTTTCTTATACCCCACACCACAAAAAGTAAATTAATGATTTGGGTTTAAGGTAGCCTTCCACCCTGAAGCCAGGGCCCTCTCCTCCTGAGGGCACGGCCCATGGAGCTGCCTATAGGAAGGGTCTGTACCTTTTCTTAGGGTCATACATGAAGAGGAAATTGAGCAGACGAAGTCCGGCCTCTGAGAGCCACGGGAATTTGTGCTTGAGATTGTTGTAGGGCTGTTTCCTCAAGCTGTATTGGCCGGCCAGTGGCAGCTTGGAGAAACCCTGAAAGAGGCAGGGGCTGGAGCTACAGCGCCACCAGGCAGAGATGGGGATTGAAGGTTGTCCATAATACCCACCGGCCAGATATTCTCACTCGGTGTCCCCAGCAGCTGTACAATCAAATCGATCTGGTGGATCTCCGAAGTGCCAGGGAGAAGGGGCTTATGGGCCAGCAGCTCTGCCAGGATGCAGCCAACAGCCCTGCAGAAGCAGCCAACCTCTGCTTAGCCTCCTATCAATGTACTCATGCAGAAATAGGCAAGTGGCCATAAGACTCTCCCACCAGGTCTGCAAATACTGTCTAGTGAGAACCTCAATGCCAGAGGCCAGTGAGCACTCCAGCTATGTTCTCATGCTTCCCCTTGGGTTCCAAGGTCAGGCTCACCACCACAGCACCAATCCTGCTCCCCCTGTCCCAGGGCTGACCTCCAGGGCCAGGTCACTTGAGGCCCCAGGAGCAGAAATCACTCCTACCACATGTCAATGCTGGTAGTCTGGGTAGTAGTTCCAAGCAGCAGCTCTGGGGCTCGGTACCTGTAGACAAAGGCCCCATTTTACCTCTGGTCAGTTCCTCTTCTTCAGGCTGAGCTCCCTCAGGGTCCCCAGTGACCTGAGCAACAGGGTCACTGCTCATAGCTTGGACTACCCTCTACCCTAAGCCTGAGAGAGCCACCATGTCTGTATTATGAGAACCAAGGGATCAGCAACTTGCTTTCAGGTGGAGGTCAAAAGACACAGCTGTGGCCACGTAAGGACCCTAATGAGAATGTGAGAGACATCAATGCCCTCACAGCCTCATTCTGCCCTAAAAACAACTACAGAAAGCCACACTACCCTTCCTGAGACAGAGCCAGACTGTTTATAACTAGTTCAGTACAGGATAGCTTTCTTTTGTAGGGTTTTTTTTGTTGTTGTTGTTGCTGTTGTTTTAGGAAACATGGTTCCTCTGTGTAGCCCTGGCTGTCCTGGAACTTGCTCTGTAAACCAGGCTGTCCTCAAGTCAGAGATCTGCCTGCCTCTGCCTCCCCAGTGCTGGGATTAAAGGCACAACTGCAAAGCGCCCCGAGGAAGGCGCACTCGTTTCTATGGGCCACCACAATTCTTAAGGAACTCACCAGAGGGTAACAACCTTGGGAGTCATTGGCTTTACTGGAACACCATAGGCCCGAGCCAGGCCAAAATCGGCTACAGTAGGAGAGAGGAGAAAGAAAATCAGAATATCACTCAATGGGAACAGACAGTTGCTATCTGGAAAGAGCTGGACTAAGATAGCCTGGGGCTAGAAGGCAGGCAGGCCATCTCTAGTTTTCAAGGTTACACTGACACCCCCAACTCCTAAAGGCATGCTCTAAGAAACCCAGCCCTACATATGTGGGGTCAGCACCCAGTACTCACCTGTCTTTACACAGCCCTTATCAGTCATGAGCAAGTTGGACACCTTTAGGTCCCTGGGTCAGAAAGAAAGCATTGGTTTCTTCCTGGCATTTAACTAAGGTCTGCTAAAATCAAGAGGGTAGGGAGTAGCATGGAAGTGGCTGCTGGGAAGCCAGCAATCTCAATAACTAAGAAGACGAGGCCAGGTCTCCAGCCATGGTGCTGCTTCACCCAGGTGTTGTTCCAAGAGCCCCAGCACAAAGGCCAAACAAATGGGCTTCAAGCCTCACAGTCCTCTTTAGTGACAGCCAGCTCCTGGCCTAAGACTCACTGAAAGTAGGTGCTCTCTACTGAAGGCTTCTGGCTGCTGTCCTCCCATCTACCCACCCACCTTCTACTTCCCAGAAATGTGAGGGCGTCTCAGGCGTCTCAGGGAGCAGTCAGAGAATTTCTATTGGGTGTTCGCTCCTCTCCTGAAGTTATTCAGAATGAGGCACTGTGGGAAGCCAAAATTATTCCTGGCCTTCTCCCTCCCACCCCTCAGACACCCCCAATACACCTTCGTCCTGACTGTCCCTGCCCACCTGTGGATGATGAAGTTCCTGTGCAGGTACTGAAGGCCACGAAGCACCTGTAGCATGATGCATTTAACCTATGAGGAGGTAAAGCAGCACAGGTTGGTGTGCTTTGATACACTGCCTGGCAGTCACCAGCAGCCTCAGGACTGTGGCTGTTGCTATGTACTGCACAGCTAAGACAGTACCGCAGTAGACTTATCTATTTTATATACATATATGAGCATGTGATGCATATGTGTGGGTGTACATGCATGTGCGTGAATGTAAGGGTTTGACATCAGTGTCTTCACCAATTGCTTTCTACCTTACATATTGAGGCAGCATCTCTCATTTGAACCCAGAGCAGGCCAAATTTAGCTGGTCTAGCTAGCCAGCTTGCCTAGAAATCCCGTCTCTACTACCTTCCTTATGCAGGGACTATAGGCAGGCTGCCATATCCACCTAACATTTATATGGGTGTTAGGGATCCGAACTTTGGTCCTCACACTTGCATGCACACATGCACTTTACCCTCTGAGCCATTTCTCTAGTCTCCTTTTCCTTTCTATTAGCTTGACATATGGACTGAGAAGACCTGGGGCCAACTCCCAACTCCCCAGTCTGGGTTTCCAAACTCCCACGGTATGCCATGGATAGTAATTCAACTCATTAAGGCCCTAGATGCTGTGAAGAAGGCAGTGGGTAACACCTCCCTGACATACCTGGGCCTCAGAGAAGGGTGTTGGCATATTTTCCAATAGGCTGGCCAGATCTTGTTCACAGTAACCCATCACCAGGAAGATGCTAGAAGGAAAAAAGAGAAAACACATACCACCTTCTATTTTCTCCCTAGTAGGTAAAGAGATCTGTGCCTGCTATAGAAAGGTTAACCCCAGGAGAGGGACCCTTTTGGGTAGGATAGCCTCAGGAAACCACACACCTCTCCAAGTGGTTGCCCACAACCACCTCCTTCAGCTCCACAATGTTTGGATGGCGGAGACGCAAAAGTAATGTGATCTCACGAAGGCTGCTGATGGGAATGCCTGTAACCAAAGGGACTCAGTGAGCCCTACTCCACTACACCTGGGACCCCATAACCACTGTCCCTTCATCAGGGAAATTAGTGATGCCGCTCATACTCCAGCATTCCTTAGGGATGCAAGGTAAGTAAGTGGACAGGGACACTGGTTTTATGTGGAGGGTGACAGTGAACTCACCAGAGGATGGGGCAAAAGGGTTTGGAGAGCATGTACAACTTCACAGCTAGCCAAGGTAGGAAAAGCCTGGCAGGGCTCAGGGAGCTCAAGTTCCAGCTGCAGTGACAGGCTGGGCCAGTCCCTTGACCACTATGCACACACCCTCAGAAGAGTGCTTTTCTGCTCCCTCCTGCTCTGACATCCTGGGCAGGGTGGTCCTGAGCCCTCTTCCCAGCTCACCATCTTTTTCTTTGTCCATCCGCACCTTCTTCAGGGCAACAATTTCATCTGTCTGGGTATCCCTGGCCCGATCTGAAATGGAAGCACTTGCGTAATGGAGTCCATCTCAAACTGTCATAGCCCGTCATGCTACACAGGAGTCTCTTTTAAAGACTTGAGCTTGGGGATCCTCGATAGAGCTGGGTTGGGAGTTTCCGATTTTGCCCTGAGCTGAAAGCTGGCCGCCAGCAACTCATCCAGTAAGGAGTTCTCCTCAGGAATTCTCTTTCTCACACAGCCCACTGCTTTCTGCTCACTTGTGCTATACTCTACAGCAATGAAGTACTACATCTAGGGGGAAAGACTTTTTATATGGTAATGGCTTACCCAGGGAGCTGCAAGGAGCTTTTAGAAGTGGTGCATTTATTGATCAGTTATCACCACTCCACAGTTACATATTTGGATTGCTGACATTAGCAACCTGATGCTTATGCTTATCCATTAATGGTGTAAATTTGTGGAAATCACACCAGAGATTAATGTCTGGGAGCAAGCTGTGGCCTGGTTTGGAGTATGGAGTTTGAGCCCTCCACTCCCGAAGCAGCTGGAGCTACAGGCTCCTTGTCCTGACCACTCACACACAATGCCATAGGTGCCCTCGCCAATTCGGTTCAGCTTCTCAAACTCCTTAACGCTCCGGCATCTTCCGAGCTGAAAGACAGAGGAGTAGCCCAGTGTGGGGATCTGGAAGCTAATGGCATACAAGTAGTGATGAAGCTCACCCATACCTAGCACTGAAAAGCCTGCTTACATCTTGCTCACCAAACAGAAAAGCAACCACATACTTGGAATTTGCTATCTAAGTAACAAATGGCCACACCTCTGTGGGGAAGGATCCTGCCTCCAACATTCAGATGGTTTTTTTGTTGTTGTTGTTTTTCAAGACAGGGTTTCTCTGTGTAGCCTTTGTTGTCCTGGAACTCACTCTGCAGACGAGGCTGGCCTCAAACTCAAGGAGATCCTCCTCCCTCTGCACCCCAAGTGCTAGGATGAAAGGTGTTTGTTTAACCTAGCTTCTCACACCCCTCTCCCCTTAGGTTTCCTGTTGACTCGGCACTTCCCTTCACCATGACTTTGTGCCGCCACCAGAGTTTGGCATGCCATTGCTTGTCGTATTTGTCCAAATTCTGGCTACATTTCCTGGTCCAAAACAAATGTCAACTTGTCTACAAATCTCTTACTGAATATACTTCTTTTCTCCAAAACCTCCATTATTTTTTACCTTTGCTTGTTTCTGAGGTCTCACTCTGTAGGCCAGGCTGCCCTCCAATTTGGGGTGAGCGTCCTGCCTCAGCCTCCTGAGTACTGGTATTACAAATATAAGTAACCACGCATACTTGACAGTTTTGTCTTGAGGAGCCAACAATTGTACACTACTGTGCATTATTCTTCCCCCCTTTAGGAGCCGATTTCGGATTCCACTACCTCAGCTTCCAGCACAGTGGAGTGCTCTGACGCTCCTAGGTAGTAAACTTAAGTTCATGTGCCTTCTTGGCCTTGAAACCATTGAAGTTAAAACTTACGTGGACTGCTGCAAACCTCTTCCCACCAACAGTTTACCTGAGCACAGATTAGCGCCCCTAAGGTTCACTTTCCCCATCACACCAAAGGGACAATACAAACGTGGGTAAGGCAGAACGGTCAGCAAGGTGCCACCGGGAACGCCCCGCCCCGCCCCGCCGCCTCAGCGGAGTTCGCACTGGGTCGGATCCGACCCGCGTGCCCCGCGCCCCCAGCCGCTGCTGGGCTGCGCATTTCTGCACGCCGCCGCAGCAAACTCTGGGACTGACTGGCATCTCTCCGATGCCGGCACCTCAAACTTTAACGCCACAATGAAAGCACCAGAGCGCTTCAGTCTGGCCCTGTCTCAGAGCCGCCCGAGTGGCACCCCGTCGCACCCTGTGTTCTGGAGGCACGGTGAAGAAACCTTCCTTACGGATACACTTCAGTCGAATCTGATCCGACTCTAGGTCCACCTCCGCCATGCCGAAGCCGGTGCCGCCCCACCGCCCACTTCCAACGCGCAGGCGTAAACCGCCCCTCGGCGCAGGCGCACAACGTACTTCCGGCTTGTTTTGGACTTGACAAATACTGGGAACCTGAGCTTTCCCTCCCTGGAGAGGATCTGCGCTCCCTCTGCTCATGGCACGGAAGTTCAGGCCCCTTTTCAGCTTTAGGTGCAGGCACGACCGCACGAAGTTGCTCAAACCACTATCCCTGCCCAAACCTGCAGAAGACTCTGGTCCTGATCAGCTAGAAGAAAATGCTTGCCTTTCCTATTCCCCATTTAAGTGAGACCAATTCCAGCACATCAGCAATGCTTTCTGCTCTTCACGGAGACTACTGCAAAAGAACTATGATTTTTTGATAGTGGTTGGGTACATTTACCCGAAAAGTGGCTCTGTGGGGACCCAGTCTTTCCTGAGGCCAACCTTGTCCCATCACTAGCCAAGGACAAGACAGAAGCCTTGAACAGGAAGGGTGTACATCATACACAAGGAAATAAAGAGCTGCTTTCCTGTTCTTCCTTTCTACTCCACATTTGTCTTACTGGACTGGGGAGATTTGCCTGGTTTGGGAGACAGCTGGGAAGGAATTAATGTGCTAGCCACTGAAGAGCAACTCTAGCCCAAGAGGTTCCGTGAGGCAGCCTGCACTCAGCTCTTGTACTGGATAATGGAACTCAGAACACCATTTGGCTCTAATCCTTTGTGGAAGGTTTGTACAGATTAGGAAAGTGAATGTTCCTACTTCTCAGTACCCAGAGCCCAGGCCCATGTGGGCACTATACTTAGGTCAGTGCTGTAGTTGGTGTTTGGACTAGTGGCTTATGCCTATAATCCCTGTAATCAGAGCACCCTGGAGGCTGAGGCCAGAAGATTTTGAATTCCAAGCTAGAACACGTTTGCATAGCCTGGCTACCTCAAAACAAAAGAAGGCTTTCAGTAACAAGTCTCTAAAATATTTTTTTAAGTAAGATTTCTGCCACAGTGTTTGTCCTTTTACATTTTTTTTTTTACTTTGAAAATTGCTTTTCTCCAAGCATGTTGTCACACACCTGTAATCCCAGCAGTCAGGAGGCTGAGGCAGAAGGATTGATGTGTGTTTAATGCTGACCTGGGCTACATAGTGAGTTCCAGTCCAGATTGGATTAGATGTGAGACCTTATCCCTGTCTCAAAAAGCAGTCATGCTGGAGTGCCAGCTCACTGGTAGAGCACCTACCCAGCACTCCTCAGGACCACACACACACACACACACACCATTCTTCAAAGTCACTTGGCTGTCTGTATTAAAGACTCAAAAGAATATAGTGTGTCCTTGAGCTGAGGAGGGCAGCAGGGCACTTAGGACTTTGGCAATAACCTATGAATGCTGTCTTGTCTTTCTGGCCCATGGATGAAGGGTCTTTATAGAGAAGGGCTACTAGGAATGCTGCCATAAGACATCTTTTCACCCGACTCCCACACACTAGTAAACCAGGTCAGGTTGTGTCTTGAGAGAATGCCCTTCCCAGCCTAATTCCTCACATGTGGTCTAGGAACGTTGTATTGTCTTCATTAATTGCCATATTGGATGGCCTATGTGGGTTAACAAAACCAGAGACAGTGGTATGCCCACCAGGATCACAAACACAACCTTCTCTGTACTAGGGTGAGGGGACCTGTTGCCTATTCCACATACCAACAGTTTCTAATATATACATGAGGCTAGCTAGTATATAAGTTATGTACTATATTATCTAGTATATACTTGCAGACCTTACAATATATGTTCATACAAGCTCGTGTCCCACCAGCCTTGAGGCCTCTCTGCTCTTGGATTTAACAGTTAGTTCACAGACTGTCCTTTTCCCCAGACTTGAGGGCCTGTCATTTACTAACTTCCAAGTGCTTCCACCACACACCTTCAGGAGCAACTGAGCAGAACCGATTTCAAATGCCCACCTGAGGAACAGTGTGAGCTTCCGCCTGATATCTGCCACTCACAGCTGCCCATTCCCAACACACACACTACTCAGGCCTTCAGGGCCTCTAGATTTACTCTCTGAGTCAGCCACCCTCTCCCCATCAAACTGCCACTGACTTCAGGAAAACTAAGAAAGTCACTGCACTGAGACAGAACTTTAAAGACTGGAGAAGGGCATTCAGTGCCAGCACAGGGAAGGGTGGTCCTTGTGTCAGCTTAGCTGACATTCAGATCACAGTAAACAATCACAGCTACTGGGAGCTCTCGTTTATTCTGTGTTGTGAACGTCATAGGCTGCTATTGTGCTGGGGCTCCTGTGTCGGAAGTAGGGGCCCCAGTCAGCCTGCTCGCGAATGGTTCTCTGTTCTTCACCTTCAGGGATGCCATAGCTGATTAGCGTCTCATTTGAGGCTCGAGTGATGATGATCTGCGGAGTGACACTTTTCTTCTTGATCGACTTTTGTTTAGTATCAGGTTTGTCTAGAGGGAAGAAAACATCCATCCATTTAGTGGGTGTGTAGAAACTTCTTCCACAATGAAGACAAGGCCTGTCTTAGCTCCCAGTAAAGGAAACAGATTCATGCCAGCAGGAAAAACAAAACAAAACTGTGCTTGATGATTTGTTTCCAACACTCAAACAAATGCAAAGTTCAGAGGGGCCACTCTGAGTACTCGGTATACTCATGCAAGGGAGGAACAGAGGAGACTACATTTCATCAGGTGCAGGACAGCCTCGGGGTGACAAGTACAGGACAGCTATATTCTTTTGAGTCTTTAATACAGACAAACTAGGATCCCACCAACACTGAGGTCACTCTGTTCTTGAACTTAACAGTCAGGTTTTTTATTTTATTTTATTTTATTTTATTCGATACAGGGTTAAACAAAGGAATAAACAAATAAATGTTGAGTCAGGCATGGTGGTGTTCACTTTTATTCCAAGAACTAGAGGAGGCGGAAGCAGGCAGATCTCTGTCAGTTCAAGACCATCTTGGTTTACATAGAGAGTTCCAGGCCATCCAGGGATACATAGTGAAATCAAAATATTCACTGGTACAATGCATATCTACCACACATAAAGCCCTAGATTTAATCCTCAATTCTCACCACACAAAATCATATAAATAAAAATGGCTGTGTTGGGTAGCATATGCCTTTAATCCCAGCCCTTGGGAGGCAGAGGCAGGGGGATATCTGTGAGTTCAAGGACACCCTGTCTACACAGAGAGTTCCAGGACAGCCAGGAATGCCCTGCATCAATCGATCAATGTCATTAAACATGGAGAAGCCAAGCTGGTGCCTACCTGGAGCCTTCACCTCTATTAACCTATTCATGGTGCTGGATGGTACTCTGCATACTGTAAAGGAGAAAGGTAAACACTCATACAGATACAGACTTCTCCATCAACAATGGGGACTTGCATGCAAGATGAGCTCGTGCAACAGTGGCACAAAGCTTGATGGACTAACCAACCAATATCTGATTGGATTTAAGGCCCACTCCATGAGATGTAACTGATCACTGACCCTGCTCATGTGGCCAAGAACATTAGGCTAGATTGGCCAGGAATCTAGGGGTTATAGTGTAGAGCCAGATACTACCGTTCATCTACACTCATTGATCAGTGTTTTGCTCAGTCATCATTGGAGAAGCTTCCTCCTGTAATAGATGGGAATAAACATAGAGAACCACAGCTGGACAGTGTGCAGAGAATGAGAGACATTGTTACGCTCAGTCCTAAATAGAATGTCTCCATCAATTCCTTCTCCTCAGGACTCATAGAACCTAACAGAAAAGGAAGCAAAAAGATCCTAAGGGCCAGAGAGAATGGAGAAGACCAAGGAAACAAGGCCTTCTAAACACAGCACGACCAATAAACAGATGAATTCACAGAGACTGTGGCAGCATGCATGGGGCCAGCACAGGTCTGAGCCTGCTGGGGTCCCAGCGCAGAGAAGGGAAGTGGACACAAGCCACATCCTTAACCCAGAAGCCATCTCCAATTGATAACTGTTTGCAAATGGGAAACTAGTCTTCTCCAATGGAGTCTCACTGAATATATACAAATATACATTCATAAGGCCAGGTCCCCCATGTCCAGGAGTGGGTGGCCAACAAAAAAATGAAGCCAGTGGCATTTTTGGAGGTTCTCTGTCCCATAATGCTTTATCGGGGCATTAAAAAAAAAAAGACAAAAACAACAACAAAAACCTTATAATTCCTTTGTGTGTATATTATGGTTTCCAGTTTTGTGTTTTTATGAAATGTGTGTCTCTGTGTTTATGGATGTTTATTGAACTTTTCTTTGGCTCTTTTTCTTCTGTTTCCTTTGTCCTATTATGGTTTGTTTGTTCTTTCTTTTTTGCTTTTTGTTTTTTGTTTTTCGAGACAGGGTTTCTCTGTGGCTTTGGAGGCTGTCCTGGAACTAGCTCTTGTAGACCAGGCTGGTCTCGAACTCACTGAGATCCGCCTGCCTCTGCCTCCCAAATGCTGGGACTAAAGGTGTGTGCCACCACCGCTCAGCTCTATCTTGTTATTTTTTTAGATGCCTATTTGTATCGTAGTGAGAAAAGGTGTAGTTTTTGGTAGGTGGGGGAAGTGGGGAGGATTTGGGAGGAGTTAAGGGAGGGGAAATATATTGTATTAGAAATATATTTTCTATAAAAAATTCAGGAAATAAATGAATAAAACAAAAACAATAGATGTAGGCTTAAACGCTGCACATGCTTGATTCTTGTGCCTCCAGATACCTTACATCCCTGCACCACCCATGCATGAATACAGGCTGTTCTTCCACCTGCCTTCTGGACTATCCACACACAGCTCTGTACCCTATCCCTATGCCTATCTGGGGTTCCCATCCTTTGTGTGATCAACTCCATTTGTTTGACACAGATTATTTCTAATTTCTAATTTTTTGTTTCTCTCTCTCTTCTTCCCCCCTCTTGTGTGTGAGTTACTTTTTCTTCTTTTTTTTTGGGGGGGAGGCTTTTTTTTCTTTTTCTAAAGATTTATTTATTATGTACACAGTGTTCTTCCTGCATGTATGTCTGCAGGCCAGAAGAGGGCACCAGATTTCATTACAGATGGTTGTGAGCCACCATGTGTTTGCTGGGAATTGAACTCAGGACCTTTGGAAGCACAGGCAGTACTCTTAGCCACTGAGCCATCTCTCCAGTCCTTTTATTGTTTTTTTTTTTTTTTTTTTTTTTTTTTTTTTTTTTTTTTGTTTTTTTTTTTTGAGACAGGGTTTCTCTGTGGCTTTGGAGGCTGTCCTGGAACTTGCTCTTGCTCTTGTAGACCAGGCTGGTCTTGAACTCAAAAAATTGGCCTGCCTCTGCCTCCTGAGTGCTGGGATTAAAGGCGTGCACCACCACCACCCAGCTGTGTGTTACTTCTTTCTCATTTGCTATTACCAATGCCTGACAACAACTTAAGGGTGGAGTGTATTCTGTCTCCTAGTTTAAGAAGGGATACAGTCCATCATGTCTGAAAGGTACAGCCACCAAAGCATGAGGCAGTCATGCATGAAGAACTGGCACCCACATGCATAGTGAGTCTTAGTTAACCTTCTCAGACATGTCCAAAAATTTGTCTCCTAGGCGACTCTAGAGCGGCGATTCTCAACCTTCCTGATGCTATGACCCTTAAATACCTTTCTTCATCTGTGGTGACTCCAATCACAAAATTATTTCATAACTGTAATTCTGCTACTGCTATGAATTGTAATGCAAATATCTGGTATGCATTATATCTTATATGTGACTCTCCCCCAAGGGGTTATGACCCATATGAGAACCACTAGTCTAGATTCTGCAAGTTGACAGTATTAACCATCACAGCTTTCCTGGACAGATTACTAGAACTAGAACTTTATGATCAAATTGTATTTTTTAAACCATGGTAAATATTATCAAATTAACTGGGAGAAGGGTAGCACACATATGCCTGTAATCTCAGCATTTTTTATTACAAAGCCAGCCTAAGTTGCCTAAGAGACACTTCCTCAAGCATAAACCCATCATATTGGAGCTGGGATGTAACTCCTTGGTAGACTGCATGCTTACCATGCTTAAGGTCCTGGTGTCAGTCTCCAGAACCAAAAAATACCAATTTATGTTTCTGCCAGAAGACTATAAATAAAGCTGTGTGTGGGTAGCTAAGGAAGTGTAGACAGGAACAGCAAAAGTTCAAGGTCATCTTTGTATTATAGGAAAGTTTCTTTGTTTTTGTTTTCTGATTGTTTTTTGAGACAGGGTTTTCTCTGTGTAGTCTTGGCTGTCCTGTAACTTGCTTTGTAGACCAAGCTGGCCTTGAACTCAGAGATCCACCTGCCTCTGAGTGCTGGGGTTAAAAGCGAGCCACCACTGCCCAGTTTTTTTTGTTTGTTTGTTTGTTGTTTTGTTTTGTTTTGTTTTTCCAGACAGGGTTTCTCTGTGTAGCTTTGGAGCTTCTCCTGTCACTCGCTCTGTTGACCACGCTGGATTTGAACTCACCGAGATCCACCAGTCTCTGCCTCCCAAGTGCTGGGATTAAAGGCATGCAGCACCACTGCGGGGCAACTGCCCAGTTTTTTATAGAAAATTTGAGGCTATCCTGGGATACATTGGGCTCTAATATTGTTTCAGAAAACAAGACTACAAGCTAAGAAAATTGTACTCTGTTAACTTATAAATTATTTTACCCATTTTAATTTAATGCTTTTTGTTTTGTGGCACTTTTCTTTCTTGAAAGTTTTCTGGTCTTACTGTGTATCTGGAGCTGACCTGGAATCCACAATTTTTCTGCCTTAGCCTCTCCAGTGCTGGGATTATGGGTCTGAGTTTCCATTCTTGGCTCTTTAGTTTTATGCACATGAATGTTTTGCCTGCATTTGTGACTGTGTATGCTATGTGCTGCCTGGTGCCTGTGGAAGTCAGAAGAGAGCATCAGACCTTCAGGAACTGGAGTGACAAATAGTTGTGATCTACTATGGGGGTTCCACCATGTGACTCCCACCATGTAGGAAATTCAAACTCAGATAATCTATTTGGACAAGCATCTAGTGTGCTCTTAACACTGAGCCATCTCTCCAGCCTCTAGTTTCTTTTTAAAAAGCTTTTAAAAAATCGTGTGTGTGTGTGTGTGTGTGTGTGTGTGTGTGTGTGTGTGTGTGTGTGTGTGTGTACGAGAGTGCAGGTGACAGCAAAGGCCAGAAGAACAGGGCATTGGATCTCCAGAGTTAGAGTTACAGGCAGCTGTGAGCTACTCAATATGGGTGCTGGGAACCAAATTCAGGTCCTCTGCAAGAGCAGTATGCACTCTTAACAGTTGAACCATCTCTCTGACTTTTTTCTCTTTAAATTGTTTGGGTGTGTTTTTGAATGTAGGTATGTGCCAAGACATGTCAGGACTTTGCTGCCATATTGTGGGATCTGGGGATCAAATTCAGGCCATCAGACCTATTCGAAAGTACCTTTCCCCTTGAGCCATCTTGTTA